GTATAAATCCTTTCAAGCAGCTACATACTGGGGACTTGTCAATACTACATGCACCATTTGGACCACATATTCCATATTTGTCACAGATATCAGTCGGTGCTATTAGATAAACAACCCAACCTTGGTTTCCATCACTCCCGATGTCGCTCAGCCCAAATCCATCTTGAGTCAGCGCCAGCCTGAAAAGAGTTGCGCTGTTGAGAAGCTTATAACCATAATATACTTCATCATCATTATCCAACACAAAATCATGTTGGATTTATATTATGCATCCCACTAAATTGGATTCCATTCCATGGTGCAGTCCGATATTTTATAACAGAACTCTCCCTCAGAATTAATTCATGGTATCCAAGTTGATATGCATAATGTCCTTGAGAAGGATCCTGGGGGCTTTTCCAGGGTGTAAGATGCCAATGAAAACCTGTGATTTTGTTCCTAACAAGCGTCATACCTGGTATTAATGTGTCACCTGGGTAATCAAAACTCTGCCATAAAATATTATCAGGGTCATTATGACTCTTGCCATCTATCACAACAAGATTCGGAATCCAAAAGCTGTGCCACTGGATTCTATGCAGAACTTGATGTGTTGGAAGACCAAACTGTAGTGTTCTTATGGTCAACAAGGACAAGAATTCCAGGGCTGCTCACCTTGAGTACACCTGCTGAACCAGTGAGGGGTGTGTTTCTTTTAGTCTGCACTATGTATGGAGAGTCTGACTCTAATTAGAAGATATTTGTATTAATTTGGTAAAGCTTTGTCTGTAACTGTCTCTCACCTTAAAAAAATCTCACAATTAGCAGCATTGGCAATACTTGATTAGAAAGTAGAAACCCTACAGTATATAGTTAAGTTGAGTAGCTGGGAAGACAATTAGTAAGCTTTCAATACTAAAGTTGAATAGTGGGGAGACAAATTACTAAAGTTTCAAGGACAGATAAACAGGATGAATTTCTCATAAGGGATCCCCTTTCACTGTAGCTTGGAGTAGAATTCATATTGACAAATTAATACTTAAGTGAGTTGACAAATGGGGAAAAAAAAGAGAGTAGAAGTGATGAACCCCACATTTGACTTTAATAGACAAATGCCCAAGAGAAGTACCAATAAGAGCGTCTCCAATTGGGAGATGCTATCCTATAATTTGACACACATTTCATTTTTTTCAATTCTAACATCATGTCATCTATATAGCAATAGGCCATTGTAGTTAAATTTTCAAATAACCAAGTTGCTCTCTATATCCTATTGGAAACTGAAGGGGTAGAAGACTAGAAAACAACTTACCATCTATTTGGTGCTGTTTCTTCCAAACATTAGAAACACAGAGCTACAACCAGGAGGAGCCCAGGAGATGACACAATACTGCCTCCTATGATTCTTACTTTCTTCACATTCATTGAGACTATAAAATATAACCCAAGTGGCCTAACCCCCCGGGACGGAAATTGGGTTTTAGCAGGTTTAGCACTGATTGTTGTATAGTCTTCATGATCTAGGCAGGAAATATATTTGAAAGCAAAAAAAGTGAGAAGTTAGATATTGATAAAGAAAAACAAAGTTCTGTAATGTCTATCATCCATTGATCATAACAGACGAATTTTGAAAGAAGAGTTTGATAATTGTGTCCAAATCCAAAATTATAAAGTAACAACCTTCGGATTTGATATGTTTTGGCTTTACTTTTTGTACATGATCATGAAGAGATGGATAACTCCCAATTGACTGTTCCATATCCAAAGATGTTTCTGTTTTTCTCTTGTTTTCTTTAAAATTTGCATTAACACACTGACTTTTGAGATTAAAAATGACTCCATACCTAGTTCTGATGCTGCCATTCTAAAATAAATATCTTGCCCATTTTCAGTGAAATTTCTTACGTCAATCAGCTCACTAAACCACAGCAGGCACCCACTTCCTCCATCCTGGTATCCAAGTTTGCAAAAGCTGTGCAGGAGCAGTTCTTCATGCACAACATCTCACATTCCTTGAGTTCCATACTTCTGTTAAACCCAGATTCATCATTTGCTGAAGATCCATCATTTGCAGTCTGTTTTGTTCACTCTTATGGTTTGTTTCCCGTTTCAGCTTCAAGTCTTCAGCTTTCAAGTATGTGCTAAATTGAAAGCAAATATATAATATTTGGTTGCATTTGGATGTCACAGAGAGACTCATTGGCTACTGATGAGAGGCTTAATGCTCTAGAAGAAAGGGTTCATATCTTTTTCAATTTATTTTTTGCAATTTTCAGTTCAATGAAAAATTAGCAGAAAGAGTTTGTTGGATTTGAGAAATAGGCTTTGCAATGCTTTTTAGGTACGGCTTCTGTGGGCTGCATCAAGAAAGTACAACTTCGATCTTCATGTTTTAGAGTCTAAAGCACAAGATGCTGAGGATAGACTTGAAACGGTTGCCTCTCAGGCTCAGAAGGTCATGAACTGATGTACTCAATCCATCTATGGTCTATGGCTATGAGTGTGTGGTGTTGTTAGTGTGGTGTTCATTTTGCCATTGGCTTCTTGCTCTTTGCTTTCAGATGGCTGACATTGTTACAGAACAATGGATTCAAATTCAGCAGCTTGAGCAGGCTCTTCATAGGTACCGCAAGGGACGAAAGAAAGGACCGAAATCAGATAACTGAGAAGGAGGGACAAAAATCACAGTTTTAAGAGAAGGTTTACTCAATATCCAAAATCACATAGCAAACTAAAACCTAGACATAATAGGATAAAAATCCCTTGCTTAAACAGAAATCCTAACCCAAATAAAATAGGAAACTTAAAACTAGAAATCTGGAAATCTGGAAAAGTAGAAATCCTACTAGAATTTGGAAAAGTAAAGAATCTAGGAAACTAACAAATATATTAGGAAACTAATAAATTTAGGTCCTACATCAATTACACAAGTAAGTTCTTTTCTGCTTGAAACTGGCTTCAGATTCTTTATTTGCTAAATTCACAAGTTTTGCTGATTCACTAATATTTGCTAGTTTATTTTTGAAAAAAATAAGTAAATCGATGAGGACTATAAGGGTTCAAAGACAATTAACAAGATGCACATTCTTGAAGGTAATATTGGATATCCCACACTCGTAGTAGTAGTTCACAACTTCAGATAGGTTGATATATAGTCAATATAATATTCTGACCATCTGTGAACTGTCGCGGGAATTAAAATCCCGTCAGCACTGACAGCATCAAGTCTTTTCGACAATTGACCTATTTTGCTTTTTACAAAATATAATCTCACATTAACTCAACAAATCTGATGTTTTGCAGTTCATAAACAACCTTTCTGATGACCCTCTACTGAAGACGCTTGGGCCTAACTTCAGATCCTATTTCTCTCGAGATTTTCATCAGTTCAAGAGAGTCTTTGCAGAATTTAAAAGGTCTCAGCATGAGGTATGTGTCAAAAGTCCTTTGTTAATTGGTCTGTAACCGTTGTTGGGAAAGGAAAATATTTCTTCAATGTTCTTAGGAAGACACTGAGGCCACTCCTGTGATACATCTTTATAGTTTTCTGCCATTAAGTCTGCTGTTGTTTACATTTGCATATCTCTTTACTTTTATAGAATAGTTTCCAAATTTTGGTGGTTGGTTTTCTAATTTTCAAGAACTCTGAAGGCACGTGTAACTATATCACCTCAATCTTGAAAATGTTGAGCCACAAATCTTTGCAAAACTTAAACATATAACGGATTGTCTCTTCCTACCTCCAAAATTATTAGTTGTAAAACACTGAGAATTACATGACAGATGCTTTTATTACCCTAAATAATCTCATTTAGCAGGTTTTCTTACCATGAATGCATATGTTATATTGTTGAGGACTGCACCATTATGTACAATCACGACCGCCTGGGCCAATTTTCCTTATGCAGTTACAACATTTCATCAAAGAGAAACTGGAAAAGAATGAATTCACAGCAGCTCTTGCAAATGAGGAATTAGTTTTCTTTATGGTATGTAGTCAATTTTCTTTCTTTTTAATTATTTCTGTACTCTTTTTTGCCGCAACTTTTTCTCAAGAAATACATCCCATTTAAGCATTTTCTTGTGGTATTGTCCTTAATCAGAGTTGCTCTCATCAAAACTCACTAGCTGAAAGCGTCAAAAGTTCTGACTGAAAGAAATTTTCGAGAATTTGATATTGTTAACAGGTATATTTGGCATTATCCATCGATATGACTGTATCGAGGTGAATCTGATTTTATATGGTGAAAAACTTTGCATTCCATATTTTTATAACTTATTAACAAAGAACTACCTTATACCTTCTAAAGGGAGCTATCACCATCCTCCAGCATTGTGCATACCTAGTTCAACTTCTTGTCACGGTAATTTAAGAAGTTGTTGGACAATAATTTGTTGATTTTTCAATGAGATATGATGAGCAGTTGGAGCTTTCTTCTCATGTTTTTGGTATTTTAGCCCATAACCCAAAAATGATATGACAAAAATTGTATATTTAAATAGTATAGTCGCGTGGCTATACTCTTCGTAAACATTCAAATATTCCAAACGTATCATACTTTCTAAATACATTTGAATATTTTAAAAGTATAGCCGAACGGCTATACTCTTTAACACGAAGCTTTCTCTCGCAGATGACGGAATTTGCACTCGCAGTCACTGCTTCGTCCTCTGGGTTCGGCACCGAAAAAAGACCCAACCCGCTTAGCCACCTAGCGACCGCCTAGCTACTACCTAGCCGCCTAGCCGCCTAGCAACCGCCTAGCCGCAATGGACGACCCAAGATGGCAGGACTTAGAAATAGACTGCTTGGTGAAGTGTTCGAGAAAGTTGGAATGGAGTCGGTGCTTTTGGATGTCCCTTTTGTGTGCAAGTCATGGTACAAAGCGACCCTCAATCCTTCATGCTGGCAATGTCTCATATTTCCAGACAACGAACGTACTGAGGTTTGGCCTTGGGATGATTTTGAATGTCCTAATTTTCAAAATCTTATGGACAGATTTGCGAGTGAGTTTCAAATTGATGGGGATCGTTTCTCTGTCACTACTTTTTTAAAGTTTGTGATCAATCGGAGCACCGGAACTGCTGTTCTGCTTAAGCTTCCCAAATGCTGCACAGTAGAGACCTTTGAATTTGCTGCAAATGTGTAAGTTTCCTTTTAACTTGATGCAAGGGTGGGTTGCTCACTGCTCTGGCTAACTGCCCAAGTCAAGTATATTTTAATTTTTCCTGTAAAAGTAGCATTTTATTGTGTAATGTGTGCAGGTGTCCTGGCCTTGTGACTTCGGGTTTACCCCTAAGATTATTGGAGAGTGAACACACGAACCCAGAGCTGATTGGCAACTGGAAAAATTTGGAGGTGGTGTCATTGGGTTCAAGCCCAAATTTGGTGATAATACTTGCCCTTATAAAAACACACCGCAAGAATTTTTACGGTTTAGATTTGTCCATGACCTTAATTCGTGAACGTGAGGCATAGGCAATTGTCAAGTTGGTGCCTGATATCAAGTACTTAAACTTGAAAGGTGCAAACATTAGTCGGCATAGCCTTGTCACATTGCTGCACGGCTGCAAAGATCTTGTGGTGTTGGACGTCAGGGATTGTATTGGTTTTGATGAGAACGATGATGAAATATTAAACTTTGCATCTCATATCAGTAAATTTACGTGTGGGGGTTCTGTTTTTCCGGAATTTCTTTGTGGGTGGTATTCTACGGATGATTTGGTTTGTAAAATAGGTTCAATCCCCTTCGATGTTGGCATGTTCAATGAATTTGAAGCTGATGAGGAATGAAGAACTATTTGATTGTTATTTTCATGAGGACTTGTAATTGTTCCTATCTTTTATTTAAATTATTTCCCTTCTTTTAGTTATTTTGTTCAATTGATATTGTGGAAATTGTAATGTTGAAATAATTATAAATTTTAATTACTTGAACTTCTTCGTTAAGTTTTCTCCACTGAAAAATAATTAATTTTGTTGTGAAGTCTAATAGAAAGTAGATATGGCTCAAACACCACAAAAAATGCCTGACAATTTAGGGGCATTATTCTTTTAGTCCTCTAGAAGTTTGAGCTGTTTGGTGATAGGACAATTATGGCCTTGCTTGCTTTGGTAATTCCTTCTTAGCTTTAGGCCTAGTTTGGACTAGTTTGAGCTGCGAGTGCAAATTCCGAATACTATACTATGTTGCCTCTATTATTGCTGGACTAGTTTCCTACCTTTTTTTTAACTGGCTCAAATCTGAATTCGATTAAATTAGGATGATTTCTTTGGTGAAAGGACAATTATGGCCTTGCTTGTTTTGGTAACTCCTTCTTAGCTTTAGCTTAGCAGATGGTGCCAAAGAGTCTCCTGCTTTTGACGGAAAAAAAAAGGCCCTACTTGCTTTTCCAAAAGGAAATACTAGAATTGCTTCCTCGTGAAGTAGTTGCCTCTATATCATTGCTGGGCTAGTAACTAGTTTCCTACTTTTTGTTGTTGGAATGCAGAAAGTGCTTGTTGAGTGAACAATTATCCAACACTCCATCAATTAATTCTCTTGTTTGTTCTTATTATATAGGAAAAGGATTACCATAAGATTGTTTTCCCAGGTTTCTTTGTATTCTTTTGAAATTTATGGTTTTTTTTTTCTATTAATTTGGTGTTTAATTAATTTATTGTATACATATATAGTTATATTAAATCGTTGTTGCAGATGGATGAACGAAGATGGGAGGACTTAGAAATGGACTGCTTGGTCAAAGTGTTTGAGAAAGTTGGAATGGAGTCACTGCTTTTGGATGTCCCTTTTGTGTGCAAGTCATGGTACAAGGTGACCCTCAATCCTTCATGCTGGCAATCTCTCATTTTCCCGGACAACGAATGTATTGAAGTCTGGCCTTGGGATGTGTCTGAATGTCCGAATTTTCAAAATCTTATGGACAGATTTGCGAGTGAGTATCAAATTGATGGGGATCGTTGCTCTGTCACTGCTTTTCTAAAGTTTGTGATCAATCGGAGCAGCGGAAATGCTACTGTGCTCAAGCTTCCCAAATGCTGCACAGTAGAAGCCTTTGAATTTGCTGCAAATGTGTAAGTTTTTCATTTAAGTTAATTTTCAAAATTCCAATCAAAGTGTAGTTTAATTTTCCTTGTAAATGTAAATGTAGCATTTTGTTGTGCAAATGGAATGTGTGCAGGTGTCCTGGCCTTGTGACTTTGAGTTTACCACTAAAGTTACTGATGAACAGCGATAACACGAACCTAGAGCTGATTGGCAAGTGGAAAAATTTGGAGGTGTTATCATTGGGTTCATGGTCAAATTTGGCAACAATACTTGCAATTATACAAACACATTGCAAGAATTTTTATGGTTTAGATTTGTCAAAAGGCTATGTTGATGAACATCATGCGTTGTCAATTGTGAAGTTGGTGCCTAATATCACGTATTTAAATTTGAAGGGTGCAAAAGTTAATCATGATAGTCTTGTCACGTTGCTGCGTGGATGCAAAGATCTGGTGATGTTGGATGCCAGAGATTGTTTTGGTTTCGATGAGAACGACGATGAAATATCAAAGCTTGCGTCTCATATTAGTAAATTTATGTGCGAGGGTTCTGAAAATCCTTTTCGTGATTTGCCTACTAATCTTGTGTGGGATGATGGATACTCATTTCAAGAGCATGTGGAGGAGAATTGGGATGAAATGCTCAATGATTTGAACGATGCATTCAATGATTAGAGCGACGAGGAATGAAGAACTATTTGATTGTACTAAGTAATATCTCATCTTTTTTTATATTTACAAAGCTAATGAGCAATTGTGTGTGTTGAGTGTGGTGTGGTGTTCATCTTGTGTTTTTGGACATTGTTACTCTAATGAGGGCTTGTTATAAGTTCCTATCTTGATTTCATTATAAGATGTTTGGTTAATTGGGAAAATGGCCGTTCTAAATTCCTTCGCTACATTTTCTGTAATATCACATGTGCTCGCGATTGTTCTTCAGCCTTGCCTTTGCCTCTATATCTATCCTAACTTTCCCTTCCCACCAAAGGTTTTCCTAGCTAATAAATTTCTTTGAGGTTCAGGAATGTTGGTTGCACCAGCTTAACAACAGCCACAATCAGTAGACAAATGAAATAATATGTTACATTGATTTTATAAATAAGGTTAAGGAATGTAAGACCAACTATAGAAACGCAATTTTTCGCACGGTTTATGCTTATTAAATTTTAAAAAGAATTAAGGCAGCCTCTGCTAGGTGGTAAACAAGTTCAGTGATGCTAGTTTTGGCACAATAAGAAGCATTTGATAGTAAACCACAGATTGGGAAACAGAACAATCTCAACAGAGAGCTTCATTTCAATTCTTCAAAATCTGAGATATCCTACGAGTATACTACAGTTGAGTGCTCTATACAGAAGGCAACTTCAATTTCAACTTGTCCCCTATCTCCACTGCAACAACAAAAGTGTGCCAGCTTAACACCCCGCAAGCCCTTCAACCAGTCACTATTAAGGCATCAAAATGAAGTTTCTATTGCTATATATTTAGGCATCTATAAAATAATAAGTATCACAAAAAGTGATGAAAAACATCTAAGAAAGATGATGAGCCAGAACTATATTAACCATTCATTCAGACAGGGGACATCTACCTTCAAGAATGACAATCACAGTGGCCAAATCAGAAAGTTGAAGTATAATTTCTACTGGCACAACACAAGCACTCTATACTAATTATAGTTTTTTTGTTTATTAATAGAGGCGGGAGATTCGATCTTCGGCCTCTTCTAACATTGTGAAGAGATGGAAGAGCTAGTTAAGATTGTGCTGTGTTTTCTGTTCTCATGTTTAGCGATTGAGCATCGCTTTTGCCTTGTTATAAAGGATTACCATATGCTTGTTTTCCCAGGTTTATCCTCTTTCTATTATTTTGAAATTTATGGTTTTTTTTTTATAATAAAATAAATTGTTTAATTGATATATTGTATACAGATGTAGTTGTATTTCTTCATGTCATTAATTCTTTCTTGCAGATGGACGAACGAAGATGGGAGGACTTAGAAGTGGACTGCTTGGTCAAAGTGTTGGATAAAGTTGGAATGGAATTGCTCCTTTTGGAGCCCCCTAGCAATTCCATTAATAATGTCAAAGTTCTTGGGCCAATCTATGGCATCATGCATTTTCTTTGATCTGCAAAATAGCGTAGTTTACCAACGTTCAAATATCCATCATGCTAACATAATCAAGTTTTGATCATACGCAAACAAACAACAAGACATGTTATTATTCTCTTAGCCAAATCCTGATTGGAAAGGAAAAAACTCTTAAAAAAGAACCAAAAAGGATGTGTCAATGGTCATACAACTGTTTTACTCTAAAAGCTTAAATTTTTAGGGAATTGTTGGAGCATGAAATTTCAGGTCCTCCAACAAGTAATCTCGTAATCAATGTTGAGAAGTCGGACACCATCTTCGATTGTCACCAATGAGAGGGAGTACCTGCAAGAAAACACGCCAATGCTAAGTCAAGCTAACAAATTCCTTATGTGCAAACTACACACGGAGAGGCAAAAAAATGCATATTGTAAGAAACAGATAGTTAAAGTCCCACCCTACACCTTGTAAACCCTCCAATAAAATCAGTTGGGCATACTCTTTGGTTCCATGCTTTTTCTTGTTTTGTTCGTCGTAGATTAATAAACACAACATAATATAGAAGCGTGAGCAAAATAGAACTCTAATTTTATTTTATTTTTAATACAAGTCATAGTCTAAATTATAAGAGGATGAGGGGTTTCACACAGACACATTATCAAGGTGTCATAGGGTTCAAACTTGATACCGCTGTAACTACATAATTATAAAATTTTAGAATTAATACAACATACAAGAACTTGTTTGACAACTTTGGTTGGTCCATAAAATTTAAACATTGGGCTTTAAATCAGGTCGGTGTGGCACTCAGATTGGCCCAATAAATCAGCCCTTATATTTTATTTGTACCAATTTGCTAAATTAGGCATCATGTACTGATGAAGAAAGTTCAATGTTACAAAATGCATATGACGACTCTGTCACGTCCATTCAAAGCACTCCCAAAAACAAACGAAAATGATACATTTTCAAACTCAGAAAACTGCACAGAATAAGCTCCAAAACATCAACACTAGCAGTACCAATTTGTCTGCATTAGAGCATCTCCAACCGATATGTCAAAAGTGCCACATAGACATTTAACAGCTAGAAATAACATATCACCTCACTCTAACCGAATTGTCAAAACTGATGTAGAATGAAGGCTGAAGGTTCAGCTGTTATTTTTGACATCCCAAAAGCAAGATGTCAAATGAATATTTTATTATTTTTTAAAGACAGCTGGTTGTTATTTTCATTTATTATTTTTTTATTCTTTATCTTAAATGATTTGACAGTTACATTAATTATTTATTTGACATATCGGGTGGAGTGTAAAACTGTGTAAATGTCAAATTGCCACATCAACCATCAAATTTAAATTTGTTGTTTGGTATTTGACATATCCCTTGGAGACTTCAAAAATATATAATAATGATTGCCACTTGTCAACTGCTATTAAACAATTAAAATATAAATCAACAAAACAAAACCCTCTAATTTATATATATTTTCACGAATTGGGTTTCTCTAGTTAGCAGTGAATCAGCCAGAAAATCTCAGCACTGAAAAAGCCATAAGCTACAAACAGATAACTTTGAGTCTCTAACATCACCTCCTGAGGAACCGAACCTTGGCGCCCCCTGAGGACAATGGATCCACGACAAAGCCGCAGCCCCAACCCAAACATGTCCATACAAAAAATGTATAAATATTTACGAAAACTTCACTTCCCAAAGCCTCACCCACACGTACATACAAATATGTGATCAGAAAGGGTACGACTTTGCTTGAATAAAAATAAAAAAGAACGTTGGCACGTAGCTACATTTTGACTTCTTAAACCACAAACTCCGACACATATTCCTACCACTTCTTAAAATAAAAATTGAAAACGGAAACCAAACCAAACCGATACCTACGAAAAGAAGATTACAAAATATGCAAGCTTTCAAAGTTCAAACTCGGGTCCATTTTATTATGAACAAAAATTCAACCCATGTGGTTCCGTCGCAAAGATTCCACAATACGAAAGAAAAAAAGAAATATATATTTATATATATCAAAGTTTGAATTGAAATGAAACAAAGATTTCTTTTTTTTTTCTTCTTGTTTTACAGCATATGAGTTCCAATGCAAATATATTGTTCGCCGTCTCGACCACGGTATCTTGTTCCCGAGCCTCAAAATTAGACAATGCTGCACAATCTCTCACACCTTGCCTAGTACGTCGTCTCTCTCTAAACACAAAATTTCTTCTTAATTTCTTGGTCTTGGATAATTAATTAATGCACGAGGAGAGTTGGACTTTGCAAAAATAATTAATCAATTATTAGTACTCAAGTCAAGGACTCATTTTGTTAATTTAATAGCAACCTATGTACTTCGCTTTTCTGCTGCTGCTGGAGGAGGAAGAGGAGGAGGAGGAGGAGAGGGTTTTTGAGTTTAGAACCGTTGCGACACTGACACGTGGCGGCGTCTGAGGTGGGGTGAGACGATGGAGATGAGCCCGCCCAGTGGGGGCCGCATCTTTGACCTGTAAATCATCTCGTCGTACGGCCTCCTGTAGAACTTCAAAAACGGGACGAACGACTCCCGAGACTTCTCCGTCTTGCTCACGTGGCACTCCTTGCTATTGCTGCTGCGGAAGAACATGGCCGGTGACTGGAGGAACGACGGGCGTGGGGTCCTTGGGTGGCGAGGGGTTCTGCTTGCCTCGCTGCTGGTGCACCGTTGGGGCAGTGGGGTCGACGGGAACAAGCTCTTCCTCGTGGCCGCCGAGTTGCCGTAGCCGTGGATGGTTCCATGTGGCGTTCTCGCGGCTGGGGATGCAAAGGAGAACGACCGAGCGTTTAGCGGAGAGATAAGTGCGGGTCCCAGAGGGGAGTGACTGGTGGGCCCTACTTTGGATGCCGACGTGTCGGTAAGGCTGAGGTACCAAGGTTTGAGAGAGTCGAACTGGTGGTGAGAAACAGTGAAGGAGAAACGCGAGGACGAGCAGGAGCCGATCTTGGCCGTTGATTTGATTGACGCGGGGTCGAATCGTAGGGACGAGGCTCGCGGGTAGTTTGAGAAGTCGTTGAAATCCAACGACTCCTCAAAGTCTAGTGATGACACCACCATCGTAGCCGTAGAAAGCTCCACAAAGGGTCGTACGCCCTACAAACCAATAAAACACATCCACGTCACACTCAACACATTTGACTTATTAAATTGTTTACCTTGTGGTCACACAATGATCAATAACTAGCAAGTAGTAATTGAGTACTAGAACTTCACTAACAATTTTGCTTACACCAAAAACAAAACAATGTTAACATCCATGGTAAAATGTTGGAATGACTAAGAGAAATTAAAGTATACGAAAAACTTCCGGGCGGGTTTTTTATTTGGCATGACATTCGGGTAGTTAAATCTACATCATGATAGCCCGACTGTTGTAACCGACACACAAACGGGGATCCTCCCTTGAAACCACTTGTGTCATATATTGTGTTGATAGTGTTTTATCTAAAGTCCAAGACCTTTTTCATAGCAACAGTGTTAGATTTTTACCGTTACTTGGATTGTATTCTCTGAAAGCAAACCCTAGCAATAATTGTGGCATAATTTGAACCCATGCAAAAGCAGTAATAATCAAGAGTTGATGATGATGATGATCAGCATCCCCCACCAAAAAGAAGTGGGAATA